ATGCATAACAAGTGATTGTGAAGACCATGGCCTGTATCAAACACACCTTAGTCTCCAGAGAGACACTATTGCTCTTCAGTACTTTGGAGAGGTCCCTAACAGCAGACTTTCCCATGGCAGTGCACCTTTTAATCTCCTGGCTACTGGTGCCAAGAATGTTGACTGTGGAGCCAATTGGATAGTTATTCTGTTATACCAACAGGAGATGTGGGGGTATTGGCTGGAGAAACAGCAACAGAAAGAGTTTTCAGGATGTATGATTATTAACTCTATGTTGTTTCCACAGTTTATTACATATAATATTTCAAAATAAATGCCTTTCCCATTCAGTTCCATAATTGGATGCAATTGCTGAACAGAGAAGTCAATACTCAGACTTCTATGTAATACAATATTTTCTTCATGTTTATTTACATGTTTATTTCTTTTTGTTAGAAATAATTACAACAATAAATATACATGAAGAAAATGATAAGGTGGTTATTACAAAAGATGTTTGGGTTGGGTTAGACTCCCAGCCAGTGAACACAGAAGTTTGAAATGACACACATACAGCAACTTGCTATACCAGAAATGTCCCATTTCCTGTTCTGAGGCAGCAGGGGCACACAACATAGTAATTCTTTCCTCATCCTCTAAAAGATCTCACCTGACAGAACAAAGCCCTGAAATTGAAAGTCAAGATATTTTCCATCAGGAGGAAGAGTTCCAACATGTTGCGTTCCAACTTTCTGAAAGTGGTCATGACTTTAATGTGCCCAGGTAGGAATGATCCCAGTGGGAATTGTTTTGAACTAGCTGTTCTGTGAATTGTAGTGGACTTGAGGGCACTTGGCAATAACAATAACAAATGATCAAAATATTGAGGACGCAATCCAAGTCTTAATGGGCACTGTAAGTCTAAAAACAGAATCCTTTAAATCTTCTGATCTTTTTTCATTCCCTTTACAGGATTCAACATTGCCCAAAAGGTAACTCAAGATCAACCTGCAGTGATGGCGCAGGAGAAAGAAGCTGTGACTCTGCACTGCACATATGATACAAATGAAGTACGTTTTGCTCTACTATGGTACAAGCAGCCCAGCAGTGGACAAATGATTTTCCTTGTTCGTCAGGAGTCTTACAACGAGCAAAACGCAACAGAAAGCCGCTACTCACTGAACTTCCAAAAAGCAGCTAAATCCATTGATCTTGTCATCTCAGCTTCACAGCTGGAAGACTCAGCAATGTATTTCTGTGCACTGAGAGGAGACACAGTGAGAGAGGAGAGTTAGAGGAAGGCGCACAAAATCCTAGGGCTCTGCTTAAGAAATCCACCTGCAGGGGCTTCTTGCAGAATCCTCAGTACAGACAGGAAGTGGCAAGGACTGTGACAGCTCAAGTGTGGGATTGATTGGAAGGAAGCTCAACATTCTAAGAAACATCTGACTAGGTTTTAGAATGCGTCCAGAATTATTATCCATCAAAATTATCTCCATCCCTGAACCTTTAGCTTGAAGTTGAAGTCAAAGATATAACATTTTATTTAAGATTGAAGAGAAAATACAGCCACAACAATTTATTATTTGGTGATGACAATAGACTAGAAGAATTGGGGAATGATATTCAGAGTTATGGGTAAACATAAAAATGAGAGAGTGACAATTCTAGCAGCTGAAGTTATTAATCTATAGATATTTGGTAGTTGTGTGGGGAAAATTCCAAATCCCCAATTATGGATAAAAATTATTATGGTTTTCCTAATGTCTTTGGAGTAATTTCTTATATAGAAGAGAAATGAGAGATGGATTTTGTAATTTGCCTGCCATGAAATACAGAAGGGTGTGGATGTCTAAGAAGAAAAACCTTTGTCTTTAATTGCAGATGTCTTGGTATGTTTGGAAATACTGACGTGTTTCTTTTGCCTTATTTTTTTTTATTGTAGATAGATATTCAAATTGCATAAGTGTGTTGTCCAATAAGTGGTATTTCTTTTTCACCTTTTGAGAAGAGTCCTTGAGCATAAAAATAAGAGTGGTATGTATAGTTCAGTGACTCTGAAACTATGTAGATATGTCATTGTCCAGATGACAGAAACAGCATTATCCTTGTCCATATACTTTTCCTTTTTCATGTATGCCCTTTATTTACTATTTTAATTCATTGTCTTTCACTTTTTTTTTGAAGTCTCCTCTAGGTTTTAATAAAGTAGTAAAGACCATAACTACATACACAAAATAAATATTAGTTTATGTCATAGTAAATTTCAAGTGACTTAAAAGAGTATGCACTAAAAAAGCAATCTCAGATTTTGCTTAAACATGGAATTTTGAACATAAATATTTATCTCTGCTCTTTGTGCAGCTCCAGTAAAACAACACTCAAGATATTTAAGAAGGCAAAACTAAAAAAAAAAACAAAAACAAACCCACAAAAAACCAACTACAACAAAGAAACCAAACCAAACCAAACACAAAAAAACCTAAAAAGGAAAAAAAAATATACATAGACAACTGAAGCAAAATTTATTTTAAAAGGGAATAAAAAGATACTAAAGTGTTGACAGAAATCTTGAAGTTGGAACCAGCGCCTTTATTGGGGAAGTTCAAAAGGAAACATTACAATTCATGCTGTACCATTCTTGCAGAGATGCAAAACAGGAAGCAACAATTATCTGAATATTGAATAAAATCATTCTGTGAAGAGGCTAGTGATTGGGACCAAATAGGAGAATCCTCATAAAATGAATATTTTCATAATGTTAAATTTATGAGTCAATTCATACTCTTTATTTTGAATTGAATTAAGGATTGGTGAGGAGGCATTTCTGAAAGTCAAACCAGTGCTCCTAAGATTTGTCTCTGTTCTTATCAGATATCATTGAGTCAAGTACTATTCATAACAATCTTATGAACAACAGATCTGAACACTGTCCTATCCTGTGCCATCCTCATCATCTCTGACAAAGTCGATCCCATTCCTGTAGTCACCGTATTAATTCATCTCATTGAGGGTCTTCCTCTCTTTCACTGATCATCCACTTTTCTAAGCATGATGTCCCTCACTGCTAGCACTGTGCCCAAAATATGTAAGATGAAGTTTTGTCATCTTTGCCTCCAAGAAGCATTCTAGAAAAGTTTTTGTAACTATAGACACACAAGAACAAGGAGCTGTACTAATGACATTTGAGATTATGGAGAAACTTATAACAAAAGTGTGAAAGTCCTGATTGGCTAATTTCTGTTTTCTGGGGGAGTCAATTGATTGGCCTGAATTTTGGTCCCTGGGAAGGCTATCAACTTACAAGAAATAAAAACGAAGATTTTGGGGTGCTATTGTGCAGTGGTTTGCTATTGGCTGCTAACCAATAGGTTAATGGTTCAAACCCACTAGCCACTTGGCAAGAGAAAGATGTGGCAGTCTTTTCATAAAGATGACAGCCTTGGAAACCTTATGGGGCAATTCTACCCTCTTCTGTAAGGTCACTGCTAATTGTATCCTCTTGTGTCAGGTGGCCCAAGTCACCAGCCTTTTTAAAAAATTTTAATAATTTTGGTTTTGTTTTGCATTATTCTCTCATTCTAACCATGATCATCTATTGTGCCCTGGTCAGATTGTGCAGTTTTTTTCTGGACCCTATCTAGTTCTGGTAAACATAATACTCAATACTTCTAATTATTAACAAATTCTTCAATGTCAGATGACATCATAATAAGTCAAAGACATAATCATGATAGTACTGACTCTTTTGATAAAATAAATGAGGGGCGATAATAACCATCTTTATAAGTTATTTTCCGACTCTTCCAAGTTTGACCCTTTCTCCTATCTCTGATATCACATAACTTTATATTCCCAGTAGGCTCCTATTCATCTTATTTTATTATGTGTATGTTTATCTTTCACAGTAGTCTGTAAATTAGTGCCTAATTCATTTCATATTTTAAGTTCTAACAAATTACTAACAGTAAAACTTCAATAAATGTTTCTGGATTTACTTGAAGTAAATTTGGGAAATCAACTCAACAGCACAAAAGAAGAATTGCCAAATTATTTATAGATTTGGTTTATTTTTTTTTAACTACCTTATACTGCAGTTGTTTTTACCTCTCTGACCATCTGCATTTTCTTGAACAGCATGGAATGAGTTGGGGTGGAGTCAGTAGACGTTCTCTTGTTTTAGTCCATTAGGGGGCACTCTAGGTTTTGCCAGACATACTGTTTCTTTCTGATCATGCCAGAAAATGGAGAGCAGAGAGATGTGAACAAGTTAAATTATACGAAAGGTCAAAACAACTAGGAGATATCATCTCACCCCAGTAAGACTAGCAAAATTTAACAGAACAGCAAGCAACAAATGCTGGCGAGGCTGTGGAGAAACTGGAACCCTTATTCACTGTTGGTGGGAGTGTAAAATGGTACAACCACTGTGGAAGGTGATATGGCGCTTTCTCAAAAAGTTGCAAATAGAGATACCATTTGACTCAGCAATTCCACTACTGGGAATATACCCCAAAGAGACTATAACTCACACCCAAGCACATATATGCACACCCATGTTCATCACGGCTTTGTTCACAATAGAAAGGAGTTGGAAACAACCTAAGTGCCCATCAACAAACGAATGGATAGAGAAGTTGTGGTATATTCACACAATGGAATACTATGCTGCATTGAAAAATAAGAAACTCATGCAGTATTATTCAAAATGGGTGACTCTGGAGGACATTATGCTGCATGAAGTATCTATCTCAGTCACAAAAGGACAAATACTGCATGGTGCCACTGTTGTAGAAAGTGACAGACATCAGGGTTGGGGTAAGACTGAGAAAAACTGGATAGATTATGTATACTGAATTGAAATAGATGAGGGAGAGAACAGTTTACAAGTGATATATGATAGCACATTATGGTTATCACAGGAATCCAGAATTAAGGTTGCATAGCGGAGTGCATGGGGGCCAGGTAAGGGGTGGGAGGGATTGTGTACCAACAAAGAAGTTTATCTTTTGCTTTTTAAAGAGAGGAGTGAACTGGGGGGGGGGTAAAGAAAAAAGTGCAACAATGAATGAATGAAAAATCCAAAATCTCTGTAAATGTTCATTAAAATTAATTTTAAAAAAGTAAAAAAAAATTATACGAAAGGATGAATGGTACTTGTGAACAGTTTATCCTAGATTTTCAATTCTGCCATTCTATATAAGACTCAAACTCACTGCTATTGAATTGAATAGGAAATCTGCAGGGCATTGTGAGCATGACAGCTCAGTGGAAAACCTTGCTTGCTTTCATGTTAAAAAGATTTTTTTCTGACTACAGTTCCAAAAATCCACTTACCAAAAATTATTTCAATACTTTTGATTACTTACTTTTCCTATATTTCCTCTGATGTATAGAAGATATAAGACTAGAAAGGTATAAAAAGGAAAAAAAGTCATAAATGAAGGAAATATTTTTAATTTGAGCATGAAAATGTGACTTTATCAGAGTCATTGATATGCACCAGCAGGATATTTGGGAAAAGTGTTTGGTAAAAGGAAAGCTTTTAGTGGAATGAAGTCAGCATGGGCTACATACACATATCTTATTTTCCTTTCATCAGCCAAAATCTTTTTGGAAACATTTTGCATGTAGGTGATGACTGTCTGTCCTGAGTCTTTAGAACTCTTCTGATTTTAAGAATTTGCATTTATTCCTTCACTCTCTAATATATGCTGCCAAATAGTTTTCTTTTGTTGAGAGGTTTTATATAGTTCAAATTTTCAGTCAAATTACACAATTTGGAAAATGAGGTCATTCTTGTAACTCCTACCAATACCTTGATTCTTCTGGGAAAATCACCCTTTATTTCTTTTCCCTCTAACATGCATCCCAAAACTTGTCTTGCATTAAGTATTTCCAGTGGAAAAAGAAATCCTTGCGTCTTCATAAATGAGAAAATTTTTCTCCTACCTCCCTACGCTATTTACGCTCATTATCAGAGAGCGATGACTATGCATTCCTCACTGTGGGCTGAGCTTCCTGTTAAGCTCAGTGCTGGAGCTCAGATGTGATAGGTGCTTGCTTTGTGAGGCTGGTGGAACTTACTGTCTGCAAGAGCATAATTTGTTTTGACCTCAAGACTTGACACTGTAGTGTAGGGCAAAGACATCCCCCACCCCCATCAGCTGAGCAAGAAGTCATGAAGAGGCAATTGGAAGTTCTCCTGGGAATACTGTGGGTCCAAGTTTTCTGTGAGTTGGGACCACCCCAGACAGGTGGCCGTGGAGAGCTCATACCAAGCTTCTGGC